GCTCATCTGTTGCAGAGATTTTACAGATGCCTCAGCTGGTGTGTGTGGTACCCAGTGAGCTGCTTGATGGAGTTTAAATCTATTATGTCTCATCACTTACTCTTTTTCCCTCCTTTTCTATCTCACTTTTTGAGCCTATTCCTGGTATTTCAGTTTTGACTTCAGGCAGCTTCTCCTGTGTGCCTTCTGTAGGTCAGGAGATATCTGTGGTGTGGAGAGCAGAGTGTCTCTTCTAGTACTTTCTTTTGGGCAGGCATGAACTGCAAAGATAACTGCCTTGCACTCGTGTTTTCTAATGACTGTTTGGTTTGAGTGTGTTTATGCACAGGTGTGTGGGGTAGGGATATTCAGCACTGATGTGGTTTTCCCCTGCCTGAGGCGCAGTGGGAATACTTGCAATTCTTACACTCTGTTCTCGTGTGGATTTAATTATATTTTGTCCAGTTTGTATAGGAGAAAATGCTAGTGTGTCAGTTCCAGTTCATACCCACTGAATTGTTGACATCTCTCCTCTAAATCTTCTTTTTGTGGCATTTTTGCCAGAAGGTGATAGGCGAGCTGCTTTTAAATAACCTGCTAAGACTTTTAATGTGAATTTGGTTATGTTCTGTCAAGAGATTAATGCTGGAGTTGATAAAGGGGAATTACTTGGGAAGGAAAGGATGATGAAATAATGGCACCATTTCAAGTTACAGAAAGCACCAATACTGAAACTTTGCCACATATTTCATGTTCAGTGATAGAGGATTGGGTACAGAAGACAGGGGAGTGATGCACAGAAATGCACCAAGGTGGTGTCAACTCAGAAAGCATTTGAGGTGCTATGGAATTGCAGAGAGGGGTATGACAAATGAGGATGCTTTTCCAGTGCTTGAGAATGTGTGAAAATAGATACTGGCTAAATAGTTACTGGCTAAAGCATTAACTCTTGATGGATTGGAGGTGGTGAGTAGTGAAACAGGAAAATTAGGAGGAAAAACAGTAGAGTGCCAGGCCCACAGGTGGAGTTCATCTAGAGAGAGAAGGGCAAACTTGTTGCTTTTTCTCTCAAACTGAAGTCCAAATGCTGCTTTAGTTTTGCTATCATGTCCTGTCATCTCAGAGTGCAAGCCTTCTAGGGTGAGGACTGTTTATTTTCCTGTAGAGGACCTGGAAGACTAATCCAAGGCAGAGGTCTCCACCTTTTTTATCATGCACCTCATCAGTAAAAAATTTGTGAGCACTCACAATATATTTTTATTTCTGAATTAAACTATATACATATATTCCTGTACTAACTTGTATAAAACATACAAAAAAATTAAAAAAGGAGGAGAAAAAGGTTAAACAAACACTATTTTAAAATTCTGTACGTTGTATTTATGAATGGTACCAAACCCATTTTCTTCATGCACCCCAATGGATTGTCACGCCTGTCCCACTTCGGAGACTACTGACTCAAGGTCTCCTGTAATGTAGTTTAAATAAATTTTCCAGTCATCCAATAGTAACTGTTTTTCTCCTTTTATGTTTTTGCTGTTTCACTGGCTGACATTTCCACTTTTAGAAAACAGGGCATGGTACAAGGGCAAAACCTTTAGACTACATTACATCCACATTGTGACTTTGGCCCTGGTTCTGTTCTAGGCACAGTCTCACCAGAAGATGACAGCTGGGAGGGAAATTGTTTAGTTACTGCCTTTAGCTTACTATTAAGAGATGAAATATTTGCATATAATATTTTAAATGTCTGTAAAGTAGGTTTATCTTTAACTTGAGGATCCAGGTAAATTTTCGTCTCTGCTGCAAGGCATAAGGTCAAATCCCACCCAAATTTCTTTTAGTTCTTGCTTTCAAAATTTTCTTCTGCATATAATATGGGGTTTATAAGAGCTGTTCAGCTCTGTTGCAGTTTCAACTATTAATAAATGATGTCGTCTCTTTCCAAGGATTACTACGGAATTACATTCCCTGCTCCTGCAACCTTGACAGGCAGAGATGGGAGCCTTGCTAACAACCCGTACTCAGGTGAGTGCTATTTAAAGATGAGGGTGGTAAGCGAAATGTTCTGGTTTCTACGTGCAGGTCATCCTGCTGTTGCTGGAAGAGGAATTGTTCTTCCCTTCTGTAAGCATGTGATTGAAGAAGCTCTTCTTCACTCCTGCTCTTTCTCTTTAGTCGTCATTGTGCAAAGATGACATTAATGCTATCCAGAGTTTTCAGCAGTGGTTTTCATCTACTGCCATCTGATTACAGCTTAAAACTGTAGCCATGGGCATTGTAGTTCCTGTAGTGAAGGTATTAAGTGTTGTCATACTTCCTGGTAACCAACAAAAAGAAAAACTTGTTGGGGATGAGATAGATGTGACTGATGTATGTCACCTCCTTAAAAAAACATATAAACATGCTGCTTTGTAGGCTGCCAGAACTTTCAGGTGTTTGGGAGTTTTCTGCTTCATAATCCCTTCTCCTGGGAGGCTGCTTTTGGGTTAATAACTGAATTTCCCTTCCTACTTCTCCAATAAGGTGGCCCACGATGCAAGCCTTGCTTTCCTGGCCTTCAGCTACTGTCTTCAGAACTTTGGTGGTGTGAGGAACTGGACATCTTAATTAGTCATGCTTGACAAATAAACAGACATTGGCAAAAATATACCCATCACTGCCTGTAAATCCTAACTTGCTTTCAGCCCATGAAGCTTAGCTAATCAGTTTAACCTCCAGAAGAGTGACACTTTAACCCGACAACCATTGGCTCTTTGGCTATTTACCATACTTCTGCTTTTAGCATTTTTTTATTGCAATGATCTGATAGTAATGAATCTGCTCAGACCATGTGAGATAGGTGAGTATCGGTATCTCCATTTTATCAGTGGATTATTCATGGCACAGAGTTCTTGTGCCGTGAACAGGCAATAATCCCTGTGGCTGTCAGGAACAGAGACTGGGAGAGGGCTTACCATGAACAACTGTAGGCTTTCAGGTGTAGGGTGTGCTCTCTTCTGTAGTTGTCTACTTGCATTCAGAGGATTTTAATCGATTGAATTCTCCATCTTTGGAGTAGCTTTGGTAGCTTTTCTGATCAGTTTGTTCTTTCGCAGGTGATGTAACGAAATTTGGACGTGGGGATTCCGCCTCTCCTGCTCCGGCCACCACGCTGGCCCAGCCACAGCAGAACCAGACACAGACTCACCACACCACTCAGCAGCCCTTCCTCAACCCCACCCTGCCCCCGGGGTACAGCTACACTGGGCTCCCTTACTATGCTGGTGTGCCCGGTGTTCCCAGTGCATTCCAATATGGGCCAACCATGTTTGTAAGTGTGACAGCCTAAATTGTAACCCTCCCTGCTTGCCTCTCTGGTTCTGGCTTTCTCCAGCCCAAACATTCTACATCTTGGAATTATAGAATGGTTTGGGTTGGAAGAGATCATCAAAGACCATGTAGTTCTAACCTCCCTGCCATGGGTAGGGACACTTTCCACTGGACCAGGTTGCTCAAAGCTCCATCCAGTCTGGCCTGGAACGCTTCCAGGAACTGGGCATCCACAGCTTCTCTAGATAATCTGTGCCAGTGCCACACCACCCTCGTGGTAATGAATATTTTCCTTATATCTAATCTAAATCTACCAACTTTCAGTTTAAAATGACTACCCCTGGTCTGGTCACTACAGGGCCTGGTTGAATGTTTTTTCCATCTTTCCTATAAGCCCCTGTAAAGTATTGTAAGGTCTCCTCCCCAGGGCCTTCTCTTCTCCAGGCTGAACAACCCCAGCTCTCAGCCTGTCCTTATAGGAGAGGTGCTGATCCCTATGATCATCTTCATGCCCTCCTCTGGATCTGCTCTGGCAGGTCCATGGCTTTCTTGTACTGAGGACCCCAGGGAGGAGTCTTTATGAAAATGGAACAGAGTCAACTTCCTCAGTCTGCAAGGGCTCACCAGAAACATGCAATATGAGAAAATAGATGCAGTCCCTTCCAGGAGAAAACAAGAAGTTTAAAAGGCCAGAACTCATGAGCAGTTTTCTCTAAATAGCTGACAGCTGTAGCTCATGGATTTGGTATCCTGAAAGCCCTTACTAGTCTCTGAAGAGTCAAGGGGAGACCCAAAGCTGAGTCAGTGAGCTGAGAGTGCCTGGAGATCCTTTTAAGGATGGAGGAGACCCCATTGAGTGAGAAGGCAGGCCTGGAAGTCGCAGGAGGAAGAAGGGAAGAGGTGCTGCTCCAGGCAGAAGGGTAGATGAGTCTGTTTAGGGCCCTACAGGACAGTGTTTTATGAAACAGCCTCAAGCAGGAACTGATGTTTAGTTTGATTTTGTGTTTTTTCTTCCTGGGTTTGTGGGTAAGAATTTGCTGTTTACATGGAGCATATGACAGAAATATGCAGCCTGTTCTGAGGGAGGGCTGCACTGCAATCGCTCTATCAAAAATCCTGGGGCTTGCACAATTCCACTACAGCAAGTTACTGTTGGAAGTGTGAGTGCCATGCCAGTCCTCCCAACTCCAGACTGAATTTCCCAGGTGAAGTGGAGGTGCCTTCCCCACTAGATGGCAGAGGGAACTCACATTCCCTGCTTAACGGTGCCTTTTGTTCCCTCCCTTTGTCCAGGTCCCTCCAGCGTCTGCCAAGCAGCACGGAGTCAACCTGAACACAGCGTCGACTCCTTTCCAGCAGGCGAGTGGCTACGGACAGCATGGCTACAGCACAGGAGGTAAGGGCTCCCCGCCGCGCTGCCCGAGTGCACCCGCAGCGCTGCTTGCGCCCTGTAACACCTTGTCTTGTACACACCGGCAGGCTACGATGACTTAACGCAGGGAACGGCAGCTGGAGATTACAGCAAAGGAGGCTACAGTGGGTCATCTCAAGCACAAAACAAATCTGCTGGCACTGGACCTGGGAAAGGTAACACACGAGTCTTGAGGCTGCTCCGGAGTGGGGTTTAGTAGGGCAATCTCCCAGTGCTGTGCAGTGAGCACAGCAGCCAGCATTGCACAGGATCATGATCCAAGCTGTTTCTCCATCTCCCGTACACAAAATGCTTCTCTAATGGCCCAGGTGTTCCTTCTAAACCTCGTGGCTGAACTCTGCGTATGGGGTTTGTGTGGCTGATGTGCAGCTTTGTCCACAATTATACATGGGAGAGGTGGTGAGCTGTTTCCCCTGCCCAAGTTTTCTTTGCTGAAGAACATAGTGATCCTTCAGCAGTGCCTTGTTTGTGAAACCTGAGCAGTTGGATGCTGCTGCTGAAATGGTCCTCTGGCAAATGATGGCTAGATTTTAAGTTTCTTGGTAGGCCTCTGAGACAGCTGTGTGTTATGGGCGAGCAGGACACCTCACATCTCTGGGCTGTCAAGCTGCTGTCTGTACACCCTGTAACTCACGTTGTGTCATGCCTGGAAATGTTTCCTCTGTGACCATAAAGGCCGAAGAATTTACACAGCTCATATGAAAGCTTTATTCTGCACATGCTGGTTAGACCTGCAAAGTGTATACTGAACTGCTTAGCACTAACTAGTTCATCCTTGGGCTTAAGCAAATACCAAGCTTTGCTCTGCATTTGAAACACCAGGTGATCATGCTCTCCTTGGTGGACAAGCAATCCAAAAAAGAGCAATGTTTGGAGGAGGGTTACAGGCTTGAAGTAACCTTAAGTAAGGAGTGAAGTAAACTTGAAGTAAGGAGTGCACACCTTCTGAGTCCGGTCCTCTGAGTCAATGCCAAAGGAACTGCTGGTTTTATTTTGATCCAAGTGAAATAATCAGAGCCAGTCCTTATAAAACTGTGAATAAGTGTCTGGTTTGAGAGCCACTTTGCTGGTGAGTGTTTCTGAGCCTGTTGTGCTGCCAGACAGTCCCGGTGGAAGCCAGTCTGAGTCAGTGATTTCCCTGGTGTCAGGGCAGGGCAGCATCGCAGGCCTCACTCTTCTGCAGGATGTGAAAGGACAGGGGCTCAGATGTGTTGGAGATGCTGAGTTTCATTGCTCAGGGCACCACTGGAAGGCTCTGGAATGCTGCAGAAGAGCCAAATGCTCCCCTGATCCTAGGGGAAATCTGGCTTTTTGTGAGCTTAAACGAGTGTTCAGTGCAACCAGGTGCTGCCTGGTGAAGTGCACTGGAATCCAAGTGGTAACTGCTGGGTTATGGACCTGAGTGATTTATCCCAGTGCGCTGGCTTCCTGCTTTGCATTGAGAATGAGGAACTGAGCCCTTTTTTCTGTTCTCATGTGGGGTTGCTGTGGGTCTGAGATCCCGGAGAACCCTGCTGGGCTGGCCAGCGGCAGGGCAGTGCATCCACTGAGGCTGCCAGAGGCACTGGGAGCAAAGCATGGGATCGTGCTGGGTGACATTCTCATTGTGGGTGGCATTTTTGTTTTCCAGGTGTTTCTGTGACCTCAAGTAACACGGGTGTGCCTGATATCAGCGGCTCAGTCTATAACAAGACTCAGGTGAGCAACGCTGGACTCTCCTTCATGGCCCAAGGCCAGGCCTGTGACTCCCCTTCTGTTCCCAGGCTGGCCAGTCTCAGGGTCAGCAGGCCGTGGCATCTGTAACACTGGCTCTGTTTGCTGTTGGGCTTGTCCTCTGTCGCACTGTTCCTGCTGTGTCAGCTCCTGACAGCAGCTGCTGGCAGAGGCTCAGTGCTCCCTGTGCTGCACGCTGCCCAAGCTACCCCATGCCAGCACTGTCCTGGGTGCAAATGAAATGTGATGGGTGATAGGATTTTTAGTCTAAATAGCTCCCAAAGCAGGAGAGTCGAGAGGCCTCTCGCTTTTCACCAGAGGAACCAGGCAGTAGTGCCCATCCCTCTGCCCAGGAATCCCTGTCCCACAGTCTCCTGGGGACATTGCTCATTGTGCAACTTCCCAGCAAAGCAGGAGGTGCCTTGACAAGCTGGGCGGTGAGCTTACATCCAGCTCCTGTTTGCTCCTCCCTGCACCCTCAGCCAGGGTAATTGGTGTCTGGCTGTGATCCATACTTAACAGGTAGCAAGCCAGCTGTCAGCTACGTGCTTAGAGTTAGGCGTCAAGCTTTGGCCAGCAAGAGGAAAATATTACTGCAAGTTTTTGCATTTTTGTTGGACTGCCCTGGGTAGGTCAAGTAGTTCCAGGCTGAGCCCACTCAGTGTGAGAAGGACTGATCAGGCAGCTGCTGCCATCCCACATCCCTCTGAATGAAAAGAGGTCAGGGAAAAAGGAACACAATAGCCGTGAAAATAAAAATGTCAAAACCATTAGTGCAGAAATATGGGTGAGAACAGGAGCTGAAACTCATCCTCAGGGGTGCTGGCAGGTATTCAGTGTGACCTGGCTTGCTCATGGGGTCGGTCAAAGGTTCAGGGGATGTGTATTTGGGCCACTCTGCTTCTCGTCTGGCTTGGGCTGCTCACATCAGTCTGACACTGTGCCTGTTGCCTCCTGTGCAGACGTTTGACAAGCAGGGATTCCATGCTGGCACTCCGCCTCCCTTCAGCCTGCCCTCTGCTCTCGGATCCACTGGGCCCCTGAACCCTGGTGCTGCCCCAGGTTATGCTCCAGCCCCGTTTCTTCATATCCTCCCTGCACATCAGCAGCCTCATTCCCAGATGCTGCATCACCACCTTCAGCAGGATGGGCAGGTGAGTTGGCCCCGTCTGCCTCTGCAGCTGCCCAAGGGCATTAGCACTCCCCCCATCCCTGCAGGGTCTTGGGGGAGTTGTTTTTTTCTGGTGTTTGCTTTGCTCACTGGGAAAGGGCCTTGGCAGTGATTGCAGACTGACAGACTTGATGCTGTTGGCCAGCCTGGGAAGGGAACCTCATGAAGTTCAGCAAAGGGAAGTGCCAAGTCCTGCCCCTGAGGAGAAACAGCCCCATGCACCAACATATATTAGGGACCACCTAGCTGGAAAGCAGCTCAGCAGAAAAAGCCCTGGGGCTCCTGGTGGGCACCAAGTTGACCATGAGCCAGCAGAGTGCCCTTGGAGCAAAAAAGGACAATGGGATCCTGAGCTGCCCTAGGCACAGCATTGCCAGCAGGTTGAGGGAACTGATCCTTGCCCTCAGCTCAGCGCTGGAGAGGCCACAGCTGTAGCATTGTATCCAGTTCTTGGCTTCCCACTATGGGAGAGGTGTGGACACAATGGAGAGAGTCCAGTGAAGAACCATAAGGATGATGAAGGGACTGGATCATGTCTCCTGTGAGGAAAGGCTGAGAACTGGGACAGTTCAGCCTGGAGAGCACTGAGAGCAGATCTCATCAAATGTACAGAAATACCCAAAGGGAAGGTATAAAGAGGAATGGAGCCAGGCTCTTTCCATTGGTGCCCAGTGACAGGAACAGAGGCATTGGGCACAAACTGTGACACAGAATGTTCTCTCTGAACATCAGGGAACATGTTTTTAGTGGGATGGTGACCAAGCACTGGTGCAGGTTGCCAAGGAAGGTGGTGGAGTCTCCATCCTTGGAGCTGTCTGGACATGGTGCTGGGCAGGAGGCTCTAGGTGATACTGCTCAAGCACAGGGGTCAGACAAGATACCTCCAGAGGTCCCTGCCAGCCTCAGCCAGGCTGTGACTCTGTGAAGAACCCATCCTGATGTGGAGTGTAGAGAGATGGGCTGAGGGGTGAAGCTGAGGCAGGCGCTGCTGTGCTCTGCTTGCGGCAGGAGAGCAGGACGTGAGCACTTGGACTATGATTCTGAGGGAAAACAAAACATCCCCTTGTAGAGTACATGTCAGCTTCAGTTTGATTTCACCTGCACACTTGTTTCCTTTCCTCAGTCTAAATATTCCCTGGAAGAACAGTGTTCAACCTTGGGAGTCCAGAAGTAGGACATCCTTTTGCACTCCAAATGTGTGACATCCTTGCCTGGTGTGCCACCTCTGTTCACCTTGGGAGAGCTCCTTTGCTGTCCCTAGTCCTGCTCCTCACTTTCATTGTGCTTGACCCTGTCTTGGGTGGCAGGCAGTGGTGTGGTGCATCTCTAAGCTCCTGCTTGTTGTCCCTGTGGCCGTTCATCCTGGATTGCAGGATGCAGAGATGTTGCAGGGCAGGAACAGATCCATTATGGGGGTAGCATCTCTGCGTTGGTGGGTGTGGGGGCTGTCTTTGGTGATGTTTGGGTGGACCTGTCATTCCTGGGAGCTCTGGGGCTATGGCAGCTGATGTCCATGTCTCCTTTGCTTCTCATTTCTAGGGTGGATCTGGCCAACGCAACCAACCCAGCACCATGCAGCAAAAGTCTCAGGCTACCAAAACCGCCTATGGCACTTCTCCATACTGGACAAACTAAATCCAAAATGGGGGAAGGGAGAGAGAACGAAAGGAGAGGAGGAAAAAGAAAAAAAAGAAAAAAAAAAGAAAACAAAAGAGAAAAAGGAAAACAAAAGCCGAAGCCCATTCCTGGAATTATTAGGAGAAGTAACTGCTCAGCCAAACGTCTGTGCAGGGAGAACTGCAGCCAGCCATCCATCCTCTGTGTGACTCGCCTGCTTCCTCTTTGAGTTGCTGTTCTATGTAATATATTTATGTATGTATTTGTAAATGTAATAGAGCCTAAATGTGGTTTTCTGCATCTTGAAGCCTCTTTTATTTTCTTTGTAGGAAAACTAATTATTCATTTTCCATCTGCACCAGGGCATCCTTCCTTCTTTGTTTTTTTTTTTTTTTTAAGCTCTATGGGTTTTTGAACTCTGTCAGACAAAAGACAAACTGCGCTTTTTTTTTTTTTTTTTAGAGCTGGATCCCATTTACTGAATGCAGTTCTAAATTCAGGCAAATAAGGAGACCTGCCCTTCAAAAAAAGCAAATCAAGATGTGTCTTGTTGGGTTTATATCTATCCCCAGCCCCCAGTATAGCTGTTATTTTAAAGAGGGGGAAAATAAAAGAAAGAAAAAGAATTTTTTTATTGGCCTTCACCTTTCTTTCATCTCCTCCCTCCCTCCTGCTGTGCAAGACAAACTGTCTTGGGCTGTTTTGTCATTGTGGCCTTGAGCTGCAGCCTCACCTTTGAATATTTCAGTTTTTTGATAATAATAATAATTAAAAAAAAAAAAGGACAGGGTTTTCTGTTTTTGTTTTTGGTTTGTTTGGGTTTTTTTGGTTTGGGTTTTTTTTTGTTGTTGTTATTTGTTTTTGGGGATTTTTGTTGTTGTTTTTCTCTAGCAAGAGACTGGATGGCTCCTGGAACCTCCTTTGCATCATTAGAGGCAAAAACTATGTAGCGGTTTCTTAAATAAAAGTATAAGCTGTGTCTTGTACCTCTTTTTGCCCTGAGCCACCCTCCCAGGAAAGCCAGAGCGACTGGATGGAAACTTCATCTGTCCCTCCCCACTTTTTTTAAAACAAAGGCCCTCGAGGCAACTCCTGGTCCTTCTTGTCCTACACCAGTGCGTTGAATGTTCTAGGATTTTCATTTCTTTATAGCCCTTCCTCCACCTAATAAAGATCTGAGCATATCACTGGTGTTTGTCTGCATTTTCAAAGGCTCCAGGAGGAGTGTTACAGCCTGTCCCTTTCCACCTGCTTGTGCAAAAGGAGCTGAGCTGGGAGGGTAAGAGCAGCAGGTGGGTCTGACCAAGGTGAGTTCCCTCGAGGGCCGGGAGCTCTCAGGCAGCTGCAGCAGGGATGGGATCAGGGCAGCACCCTGACTCCCTCCAGCAACATTGTCTCTGCCCTTGGAGTCTTCTGGGGTGGTGCTGTGAGTCCCTGTGGAGCAGCTGGGATGGAGAGGGAGCAGAGCTGCAGCATTGCCCTCCCTTGCTTTGCCCACGAGGTCCATGGGCTGCACTGGGAGGAAGGGCAGTGGTGAGGGTTCCCAAGGGAAGTCTTCTGCTTATCCTCCTGAGCAGCAGAGGAAGTGGGTAAATATGTAGCACACAACAGGCAAGGGATTCTTTTTTCCCCTCAGGATCCACAAGAAAAATTGTTTCTATCCTGAGAACCACTTTTCATTCTCTGTTACCAGCTCTCAGGCCCTCTGGGACCCAGCTGTCACCCAGTCCTCCCCCAGCCTCTGAGCAGTACAAGAACTGCCCTGGCCTTCCTCTGCCCTGGCTCGGGTTTTGACACTGGTTGAACTCCAGCAGCTGCTGCAAGCTCCTGGCAGCTGCTGTCCCACTGCCACCAACTTTGGGATGTCAAGGAGGGCAAGGATGTGTCTGCAGGCTGGGGCCTGTCAGTTTCTACAAGGGCTGTACAAGCAGCTGTGGCTTTGCAGCAACAGCACCTCATTTACCCATGGTCCGAGCTGCTGCCTCACAGGAGTTCTTCTTCACAAAAACCCCCGAGCTGCCTTCACACACTTGAGTTCTTGTTCATAGATATCTGGTACTGCCCTGCAGGTGTAGCTCAGTCCATCTGTGTTTGTCAGGGTCCAGAAGCAGCTGGAGCTGGGGAAAGGCAGCAGGTGCCAGTTGGTGCCAGCCCACAGCAGCCCCTGAGCCTCGGATTCCTGGCAGAGCCGCTGCAAAGACTCCTGCCAGTGCTTCTCCACTGACCCCAGCCAGGCAAATTCCATCCTCAGCCTGGCTGTGAGCACAGAAAGGGCAGCACACGGACTGTGCTGTCCTGCAGCACCCTCCTCCTCCTCCCCAGCACCCAGCAGCCAAAGCAGCTCCAGCACCTTCCCAGCACCTTCTGAGGTCCTGCCCACAGGCAGTGTCGCAGTCAGCCACATGTAGGCTCCTCTGCTTTCCTTGTGAGACTCAGCAAGGTGTTCATCCCTTTCCCTACACTGTCAGTTCCTGCAGGACTCTGCAGCAATTTCCCCTCTAAGCCCAGTTCCGGGCACTGATGGCAGAGTCGAGGTAGCCCAGCTGCACTTGGCTGTCAAGGAAAGGCAGGGGAACCCCCCCATAATGCTCGAGAGGCAGGTGAGTTTGCCAGATGGGCTGGAGCTGGAGGGAGCAGCTCCTGGCAGTTCTGGGCAGCCCAGTGCTGGAGAGCCAGGCAGGAGATATAGGCAAGCCAGCTCCCAGACAGCACCATCCCTCTGTGTCCCATTCCCCAGTATGGAGACTCTTTTGGGGAGGCAGCTCCAAAATGCCACCACCATTCTTCCAGCACAGCTGTGCAGCCAAAGCAGTTGGCCCCAACTACATTTGACTGGGCAGCTGCTGCACTGCCATCGATGCCAAGTGCAGCCAGTGCAATTCCCTGATGTTTGTCCCGCTAATTTTAGCCCAACTGCAGCATTGAGGCACAGCAAACACACTTCTCCTCTCCCGGGCCTGCAGGGAATAGCGTGGGCCAGGCAGGGCCAGCAGCCATGACCTCAATTTCTCTGCCAGGCTTCTGCATGAGGCCAAAGCCATTCCCTGCCCCAGCAGTGGAGGTCCCTGCTGCCGTGTCTGATCCTTTCAGGAGTGCTGAGCTCCTGTCCTGCCAGAGCACCGACCACCAGCAGCACCACGGCCTCATGGTAGCAGCTCTGACCTGTGTCCTGCTTCCCTGCTCCAGTCACGAATCCATGAACCAATTTCTCACTGGTCTCCCCCTTCCTGACTTAGGAAGACTAAATACAACAGCAAAGCCCGTGGCCTTTTCCCAAAGTCCTCCTCTAAATCAGCTTGTTCTTTAGTCTTAGGTGTGGGCAGCTGTCAAACAGTGGCTTTATTTCCCAGTAACCTCGCAGATTTTTGTGTATGGGTGTATGCATTGATACCAGAGCAGCACTGAGCTTGTCATTCAAAGCTCTTGAATAACCCAAGCAATGCAACCAGGGAAGTAACAGTACAGAGATATTTTCATTTCACATTTTTATTAGAAGACAAAATATAACTACTGAAGGGGAAGACAACACAAAAATGCATCAGTTAATTCTTTCTGGTAAATTATACTGAAGAAAAAAAGGAAAACATCTGGGAGTTCAGCTAAGAAAACTACTAAGAAATCTAGTGTACCCTGCTGGTTTCAGAATGGTTGAAAACTGCATTTGAAGGGACTTGTAAGTTGCAAATGTAAACGCTAATATTGGCTGAGACAGGAGAAAAAGGGTTAAGAAAAAAACCAGAATACACAGAGTAGGTAAACATTTTTCTGCAATCATCTCTTAAATAGTTTCAAAAAAATCCCCTCATACTTCAGTTGTATCTGAAAAAAAGGAAACCAGCAAGTCAACAAGCAATGACACTGCACAAGACAGTGGGGAAGAGAAATTAGTCTGGTTATTGTCGGAGCGCTCAAAAGAGGTTGCTTTCTTGTCTTTAAAAAAGGGTAAAACAAGAGTCATAATAATGCATCTTACAACACCAAGCTTGGAAATACAAGTCACTGGAGAGTATACAGTGAAGACGGTCAAAAGTACAAGGGAAATCCTGAAAGATGCAGTATCCTCATTTCCAACCCAGCCATCAGCACAGCCAGCATTGCCACACTCTGCTCCTTCACCGCCCTCAGCCACCTGAAAGCTGAAGGTTGGTGCCCCTGTCCCGGGGTGGCCCTTTTGCCACCCCCGGTGCCACCCTTGCAGGGCTGCTGTGAGGCTGGGGGTGCCCCACACTCACTGGCTGCAGGGGAGCCCCGCTGCCGGCTCCAAAAAGCACCTGGGGCTGAGTCAGTCATTGCTGGAAGGTGGAGCTGAAGGAGCAGAACACCTCAGGAGGGTGCAGCTGCCTTTCCAGGTAACATGCAAGCAGGAGGGCAGAGGGACATGGGAAGCAGCAGGGACAAGGAATCACCACTTGGGCTGCCTCCACTCCCTGGGGGCAAACGGATGCACATCCCCGGGCAGGGGCTGTCCCTGCTGCAGCAAACCCCTGCCAAGCAACACTGAAAACAGATCTGCCTTGCTCATTTCACAGGGAACCCCACAGGCCTTCCTCCCCTCCCCGAGGGCTGCCTTCCCCTCCTCTCCCTCCAAGCAGCACACTCGGAACTTGCTCAGTCTTGCCCGGGGCACAGCTGATCCCAAACAAAGCCTGATCCCACCGAAGCACCCCCTGGAGAGGCCCCAGCTGGTGACGTACCATGGAAAACCCTGAGATACATGGAAGAGAGGAGCAGGCCCTGGCCGTGGTGACACCTCTGTACCTGTGGGGACCGAGGGTCTCACCAAAGCAGGGGCAGCACCCCTGAGCTGCTCTGGGGCTGCCAGGGCTGGCAGCCCATCCAGGGATCATGCACAAGGTGAACTCGGGGCACTGCACCACGGCCAAACATGAAGAGCTGCAACACGGTCAGGGTGCTGAGGGACTGGGGAAGAGGGTTCTGAGACAGGAACATGCATGATTTGATCCCCCTGCCCACGATGGAGGGCCCTAAGCTCTGCCAAGAGCTCCCAGAAACGTGCGGGAGGGCGAGCTCAGGGCACCAGCTGAATGAAGCATGATGCTGAAGACAGACCCTGCTGCTGGCCTTCCCTTCCAGCCTAAAAGTCCCCCTCTCTCCTGGGGGGCTGCACACGTTTGCCTGTGCCCCAGCCAGGTGGGCAAGGGAGAGCCCAGCACCACCCACCCTCTGCCCCGGGGGGCACTGGGACAGCCTGGACACCCCAGGCAGGTAACAAGGGGAGCTCTGACCTCTGCCAGCCCTGCAGAGCCCGAGGGGCTGCAGCAGAGCTGCACCGACCCACAGGTGACCTACATAAGCAACAGAAAGTTGCACAGGGCGGAGGCTGCAGGAAGCAAGGGCTGCTAGAGTGAGCACTGGGGCAGGAGGCTACTGGTCTCTCCTACTGCCAAAAAAGAAGTTCAGGATGAATGGTGGCCCACTAGGCAGCAGGATTCACATCTGTTCTCATCCCTGCAGAGAGGGGCAGCTGGCAGCAGATACCAGCAGAACAGCTAAACTGAACTTCTGCAACCCTATCCTAGTCTGAAAAAAGAACAATGAAAAAAAATAAATAGCAACCCAGGGCTCAGTTGTACAGACGTGAAGTGTTAAGTGTTTATTTTAGGGTTCATCTCACAAGCCTTTTCCAGAGACAAAGCTGATTGTGCCCTCTGGGGCTCCAGGGGCCAGCTATTTCCTAACTTAGCAGGCTGAAAAGGAATACTGTACCTTTCAGTGACATCCCATCAAGCTCAACACACAGTAGCTTTACACTCTCCGCCCCACACCTCATAAAGGAAAAGCCACCACCACAAGGCTAAACGAATGTACACACGCTATTATTGTAAATGGAGCAGCTAAACCTTGGCAATTTGCTTCGTGGGGATTTTTTTTTCTTCCCAGTAAATGCAGCACTTGAGCTCCTGAAAACCCGGCTTCCAATGGGTTTGTTCCAGCTTTAAATACATTAAACATCTCAATGCAAGACTGTATTTAATTCAAGAATCTAAACGCGAGCAAACCTGTTTTGCTGTGAGCGTTTTGTAGAGAAGTGAAAAGGGGAGTTTCTTTTTTAAAAAGAAATCGTAATACAGTGATGAAAGGGTTAAGAATGCAAGAATTCAGACATTCTGTGGAGGGTCTCTAAGAGGTCCATAAAAAAGGAGCAAACAGATCCATACAACAGGAGACAGCAGGAGACAAAGTTTTGTGTTGGGTTTTTTTTTGTTTGTTTGTTTTTCTTTTTTTTCATTTTTTTTTGACACCCCCCCCCCACTTTTTTTGCTGGACTGCTGCTAGGTTACCGCTGCTCCCTTCTGGCCTGAGTCGGCAGGGCAGTACAGGGGCATAGAGGGAGCAGGTCACGACTCCTCGTTGCCAGAATCATCATCATCGTAACAGTCGGCGTCCTCCTCCTCCTCGTCCTCGTCGTCAATGTCGTCATCGTACAAGTCGTCGTAAAGCAAATCTGAACTGTTGTCATTGGAAGGCACTTTAGTTTTGATGCAGTACTCTGCCAGTGTAGTGGGGACCTTCACACCATCCTTCTCTGCCTCAGCTTTGGTAGCCAAAACCTGTTTCCTGTGGGGAGAAGGACACGGCGGGAACGTGAGCAGGGCTGTGTGCCAGCGGCAGCTCGGCTCGACTCCCACCTCCCGGCCAGCCCCCAGCCCAGCCCTCCTGGCAGCTCAGAGTCAGGAGATTGGAGGTTTGGATAAAGCACCACAAACAGCACTGGAAACAGATTTAGTTCCTGCAGTCCCAGCCTTGGGAACATGCCAAGGGTGTTTGCAGCAACATATGAAATGTTATTTCACAGGACTCTACATAAGAGACCTGCCAGAGCTCAGAGCAAATTCCATTTGCTACAGGAGGAATGGTCAGGGATTTCCTATGATGATTTATTGACTCCACCCTGACAGCTCTACCCCTGTGTGTTCAGAACTGCAATTCCCACAATTGCTTTGGCAGCTCTGAGCTCCAGAGCAGTCGGAGCGTGTGGCTGCACCCTGAGGCACAGCTGTAACCCCAGTGCTGCCTGGGGCTGGCAGAAGCCAAGTGTTTCCCATCCCCCCAGGACAGGCTCTGGCTGCTACCTCCCAGCAGGGAGGAGCAGATGGCAGCCTCGTCCCCTCACCCACCCGCCAGCTCCTCAGTCTGCCATTCCGTGTGCATGGAATACATCCAGCTCTGCTGATGCTGAGGGAGCTGGAGGACTGAACCTCCCAGCTCGGCTCTCTGCACAGACACACTGCCCTGCCAGCTCCAAAAGGGGCACATCCTGCTGGCACAGCTAGCACAGATGTGGCCTCAGCCAGCAGTCCCTCTCTGGGCTCTGCAGCAGCCCTGGCTCACACTCACATCATCTCCCTGCGGCTCCTGATGAACCATGAACTTCTCAAAGGGCAGCACTGAGCAGTGCTTCCAGCTAATCAAACCCAGCTTTGCAAGGCCTTGCCAAAGCCCACTGATAGTCCTTCGAATTGGAGGGACATGATTATGATTCATGCATGTATTAAGCACAGGAATTAGTAGGATGAAGTCAGTTTCCACTACATCCCAAGCAATGCAGGGCTCAAAAGGCAAGCAGGGACTCTGACTGGGATTTACTAGTAGCCAATAGGTTTTGCAGAGCATCATGACAGATTAGTCTGAAAAAAGGACCATTTAAAGACATATTAGCCCAGTCCTCCTGCTCCAGAAGTTTGCACTGCTTCTGTGCACTGAAAACTCTGGAGCAACCAGACGTGTGGACTTGGAATAAGATGATAAAATTCATTTCCAAAGAAACAACTACTGCAAGAAACCGGTTTCAGCAAATTCTAGAAGCACCCTGTTTCACAGGATTCAACACAGGAGGCTGGTAGCACAGCATGGAAAAGCTTACCTTATGATTTCGGCGTACTCCTTGTCTTTTCCTTTACTGTCCCTCCATTTCCTGAACATGACTGATGCATCCACGTTGGCTGGGGAGAATGTGTTGGGCTCATTAAGCAAAGAGATTACACTCAGTAAGATAGTCCTGAAAGAGGTAACCACAACAGCAGAGTCAGAGCTAACGCACTCATGGCTTCTGGATGCCGACGACTTCTCTGGATGATGCATCAAAAACTTGTTTGAAGTCAAGTCTTAAGCTGAGAATAATATTTTAAGTGAGAGCAAGTATTTATGAACCTCACACCCTGGTCATCCACGAGGAAAGGTGACACAATATAAACCTCATGTGACTGCAGTTCAATGTGTCTGTGCACGTGTTTGTGACAGGGCAGCAGGCAAAGCTGCAACCAGAGCAGAATTCAGCTTGTCCACACCACTCACAGATGGTGTGGGGCTGGAAACCTGCTCAGTGAGCCTGTTCCTGCTGGCATGCAGCCTCCCAGCAGGAAGCCAGGCTGTTTGCCTGCCCTGCACAGGGAGAAGAACCATTAAGATCCAAGGCCATCAGAAAAGGCTGCACTGCTTTGTCCCTGCCCCACTGGGTGGTAAGAGGCTGAGATCGTGGGCAGGTCTCTTTTCTCCTCAGCTGATACATCACTAAAAAAGCTGCAGCAGCAGCAGCACTCGAGCACAGCAAGGGGAAGGCAGTGCAGATGTTTTTCAACACCCAGGCCACCTGCCAAGGCCCAGAGGGATTAAGCTGCTGGTGCTCAGCAAAGCCAGATGAGCCAGTCATGCAACCCCAGCAGACAGCCAGCCTTCCAGGATTTCCAGCAGTGACCCACACCTCGCCAGCTGCCCTGCTCTGCTGGCATTTACCAAACATCGCCCTCTTGCCTAAACCCTTCTCTTGTAGTTCCTACAACCCTCTGCACTTCAGCCCTTGTGCCACAACCAGCACAAACATCAACAGCGAGCCCCGCCAGGCAGCCCCGCACACCTGGACACCGCAACAGCTCCACCTGTCCCAGTGGTACTGCCAGCAACAGCTTCCCATCCAAGGGCAGGGAAGAACAAGAGACAAGGAGAAAGTCCTGAAACACAGCAGTACACAACAGCCCCTTTGCAGAACTTGGTTAAAGGACACTTGGAGCCACAGTTGTATTTGCACTGATTGAGGGGCATGCTCGGAGCAGCACGTGCTGAGTGAATCTACCAGATCATAAATCTGGGATGCAATTCCAGGAAATGCTTGGTCATTTTCTCTTCCTCATTCTTTTTCATTTTCTTTTTCTCATTCATTGCTGATTTTCTTGAAAGGTTTTGAAACTAAACACTTGTGTCTGACCAGACTAGCATGGCTATCAGAAGAGTCTTATACAATTTATTTTCCAAATTCTGTAACTCTGTAGGAAAAGAGATCTGCAGCTCCAGAAAAAACCTGTCTGGTCAGACTGGAACAATGGGCAGAAGAGATCATCTTCTACTTCATTTCAAGAATTCATTTAAAAGCCTTTGATTCTCAGCAAAGAGGCTGCAAAGCCACCATGTCAGCTCCAGCATCGTGCAGCAGCTTTACTGTAGAGCAAAGTCGATGGAAGGCCAAGAACAAGAATTCATGTCTGGATTTAGCATCTGCTCTCCCACACTTCCATCGACAGTGAGGAGAAGCCAATATTTCCACTGCAGTGCCCAGACTCCAAAGTCACTGCAAAGCTACTTAAATACAGCAAATACACCTCTAACTGCATTAGAGGTGAAGCTCTCTGAGCTCCACATTCCCAACCAGCACATCAGATCAGCACCATCACTGCTGATGTCCTAAAGATTGGACAGTCTTGTCCAACTCAAACCTGGCTGCTGTGGATAAGCAAGGGGAATAAAGTACAGTAACAGAAAGGCATCCCAGCACAGGGAGTCTGACAGGACAAAACCATTAAAAAAGTTCAACCACGTGGGACTGAAAACCTCAGCATCAGGTACAAACCGCATGGACTGAACGCAGGCTGAGGCTCTGGGATGATGCCAGGGATCACATTCTATCATGTTGTTTCATGCAAGCTGACAGAGTAAAGACTGGTGATTTCAAGGCTGGTTCTGCTTCCTTACATCCTCCACCCCATTCTGGGGAACACTGAAGTGTTTTGAAGAGTTTACAGTGCTGTTGTCTTCAGAGCAGACTCTATACATCTCTTTACCACTAGGGAAGAGCAGCCAGCACAGGCTCAAGGAAACAGATCTGTTAAGGGCCTTTTCCTCTTCACATATCAACCAAAGGCTCAGAGACAGAGGGATTTCATCCCAAACAGATATGAGGTAGATAGGATGTGTTGGTTGGGAGCACCAGCCAATTATATTCCTTGTTGAAAAAGGATTTTTTTTTTGTTCCAGCTGCTATCCACATTGTAGCCTCTCAGAGCCACCTTTAGAGGTGGGCATAGATTTGTCCTTGCACATTTTTGCTCTCCACTCTAAGTTAAAAGTTTTGGCTTAGGTTGTACTGATGGTTACGTTAGTGCACTGAGCTTTTTGCAGAGTCTTCCCCAACCTCAGGCAGCCAAAAAACCCAAGAAAAATGGGAATCCTTGGGAAACAAAGCAATAGCGAGACAGGATATCATCTATCTGCACGAGATACAGATGTACCAACTTCTCACATGCTGTGCTGAGTTCTGGCCTGTGCAGCTCAAGGACAGGGAAGACACAGGGGAGATGGAGAAGGGTAATTATCAAATTATCAAATTATCAAAAAGCCTCAACTGTAAGCCCTGACAACACTCTAGCAAACAAACACTAGAATGCCTCTGGTACTCAGTGATCCTTTGTTCTTTTGGCAGGAAGAAAACTACCCAACTACCTGCTCAAGATACCACGAAGCAGGACAGGAGACAGACAAACAACAGAAGGGCAAACAAAAGGCTTCTACTGGGCCTAAATACGCAAAAATGTATTTTTCCATTAGTGGTATCCTGAAGAAGATAACAATGACTGGGAAAGGCCAGAACATTTGAAATAATTTGTCTTAAGAGCATAAAACCCTGTGAACAGGACAGAAGGCTCCACACTGCCAGCTCAGTATCAGGACACAGAGCACCTTCAGTACCTTCAGACAGCCTGGTAAGTCTGGTTTCCACTTGATTCAAGCCTTAAAACCCCTAAGCCTTAAATTCCCTTCTAAGTCTCTCCCAACCTAGACCTTAGTCTTGTAGAGACAACAGGCCTTTGAAGTCAGTGTTGCACATCATATTTAGAGTTACCTGACATTTTGGGTAGGGTTCCACCTCTCAGATGGCAGCTCTCCACTTTGTGGGTCATCTACAGGTGGGTGAAGAATTGAAATACATACATCTCCATTCTGCAAGACAGAAAAAAAGCACTGAGAATAGCCTGGCTTGAGGCTGAAGTCTGGTGATTCAACTCCACCACTCTGGCTACCTCCTGAGCAGTTTAACCTTGTTGATATGAACACTCAAAAAAAAAAAAACAAAACAACCCCAAACCCAAACTGGTAAGAACTGGAAGTGGTTCTCCATTCATCCTGGATCTACTTTACTTATACACAAGGGTTAGTCTGCAAATTGGCAAAAAAACCAACCTAAAGTCAGAGACAGTCAGGTTTAAAGAATGTAGCAAAGCAAGCAAAAATAGTAATAAGACAGCATAAAACTAAATTGATCTCCAGATAGCAAGTACTGTCATAGTGACAGAAATAAGCTTTAGTCACAGGAGACCCAAAGTAGGGTTAAAAAAATCTGGTGTTCCCAGTGGTAGCTGAGTTAGCTACAGGAATTTTTGAATTGAAGGGTTTATCACTCTCTACTAGCTCAGGTATGAAAACATTTGTTCTCCCAGGACACAAGGATGTTGAACAGATGGTGTGGGGCAGGCTTACACTGCTCCCCTAGGACACAGCTGTTCAAAATATCAGGTGAAAGAGCAGGAGATGTTCTCTGAAGGTTTCACTGAAAATCCCTTCCAGCATGCGAGAGATTCTGGCAGCATATGGAAGCCATACAGCCACGTAATCCCCATTATGTGTTCTACTCACCACTCTTATGGCCTGAATATAGATTTAAAGCTCCATAATGCCTACCATTTATAAACATTTGAGGAAGCCTGTAAACCCAATTCTCCATCAGCAACAGCCCTCTGACACAATTACTTTGTAGGAATGCTGTGGCATTATCCATCACATCCGACATCCTCCACTAAGGTGCTCCAGGGACTCATGGGGGGGTGACTTACTGCAGGATAGGGTGAAGGTGCAGATGAGTCCTAAGGCCAGCCAGCAGCTATTGGCCTCCCTAGGTCCCACTGGCTTGCTCTCCCTTGCTGCTGGGGTGACGTACAAGTTCCTGGAGGCAGCCCCACACCTTCAGGAGGCACAGCCTGAGCTGAGGGGCAGCACTCACGCCGCTCCCGGTCACTCCAATCCAAGGCACAGGTTGATGGCAGGATCAGTCCTGTTTAGGAATCCAGGCTGGCAGCTCCCCACACACCTGGTCTCAGGCCCTTCCAGCACTGCTGGAGGGCAGAGCAGGGCTGCTCACAGCAATAGCATCTGTGCCTTTGAGCCCAAGCCAGTGATCACAGCCACTGACTGCAGCAGCTCACCTGAAGGGCCTCGCAGACATTTCAACTCACCTTGATTAACAATGACTTTTGTTTCATAGCCAAACAAGATCCTCCGTCAGCGTTGGAGGGTTGTGATCAGGATCCAGATTTCAGTGGCATACTAACCCTGCCAGGTTTGCTAATCTAGCCAGCCCTTGTCACTTTGAAGCAGGTTTTAGTGAAGAACACAGCAATACAGCACCTGGAGCTGCTGAATACCACAGCACATACTTATGTTGCTGGAACAGTTTGCCATAAGAAGGCAGTCTCCTTTTTAGGACTCCAACAGGCTTGTGCAACCTTGGAATTTTTTTAGTATCATTTTAAGGTGAAGTTAATTTTACCAACGTTAATTTATGTTCCCAGCCCATTACGGTTTTTTTAATAATTTTCTTTAGTTTTAACTTTAACCACTTCCTGGGAGAACACAATGCTGGTGGCTCAGAGAAGGCATCACAGCACTTGGCAGAAGTTCCTGAAGCGATCAGGTGAGCAGCACGTGAACAAGCAGATATTTGACAATATGAAGATAATAGAGGGAAGCAAGGATATGAGAAGTTTCCCTCTTGCAATGATCAGTGTTATGTGTTTGGGAATTGCACTGCATTAGAGTCTGGAAGGGTAAAGGTGTAAGGGGGCCTGGTGAGATCAGCACAAGGTTTTGGGATCAGGGTAGGAAAGGGGTGAGCCTTTCCCTACATACATTTCTGAAAGATACAAACAAGGAGGATGAGGTATTCATCTGCCAATGGGAAATAGCCACAATTCTATCTAGGACTGAGAACTCTTGTATCATAAAAATAACAAACAAGTGAATGCAGTTTTACCAAAATTCAACTAGATGACCCAAGTAAAGTAGAGGTGGGAAAAATACACCTTACTCAAGTCTCACTGATCAGAACTGGAACATCAGCCCCAACCTCTCCAATCTGATCCCACCAGCAGATTCTGTAAACTGCTGTTTTCTTTCATCTTCCTTGCCCTAAAAGGGTTTCTTCTTTTCCCTCCTCCTGACAAACCCTCAAACCTCAAGCACTTTGCTGAGTTAGTCTCAGTTTCATTTGGAGTTATCCCAGTGCCTCATCTTCATTGCTTAACTGTTGTTTCCAAAACAGCCTGCAAGCTGCTTCAGATTCCCTCAGCTGCAAGAAATACTGCTACAAACACAAAGTACAAAGCTGAGAACTGGAGTATTTCAAAGGTAAACCCAAAATATACCCATCAAGTTTAGGGTTAGTTTCTCCTCCTACCTTCAGTTGTTTCTAGAGTTTCTAGAGCCAATTTTTCATCTTTCCCACCGGGACTGGGAGAGGTCCTCTCCAAGACTCCTTTTGTACATGTCATTTTGGTAACCATTTCCCACTTGCCTCCTGCAGGAGGATTTCTGGATTCAGAATCAATACCCACAGTATGGGTCTGCAATAATCTGCAGGTCTCTTTATTCACCGATCGAACTCCCATGTAACTGGAAGAGCCTCACAGAAAACCACCATCTTTGGCTACATTCAAGATTCTGTGCCAAATACAAAGTCCAAGTGAGAAAACTCATCTGAGGATGTCCCTGGGCTTAGGGCAATCCCCATGAGCAGTCAACAATTAAAGCTGATTATCCTGTTCTGCACTGAAATTTGGCAAGGCTTTTAGCCATTTTTTACTAAGCCATCAGTGTTATCACCATGATACTGGAAGCACACCCATTCCAAACTGGGTATTTAGCAGCAAGAACTGGTCAGAAAAGGGCTTTCCAAGCTCAAGGCATCAACTGAAGCCATCATTTGTTCAGGGGAAGGAACAAAAGTGACATTCCTCTTTTCAAGTGGGTCCAGAGGAAGCCTGCAGAACCTCTCATAGGGACACCTGTGATAAGGTTACAGACCTGCACCAACAGGAACATTTTTGAAAGGCCTCTAGGTCCTCCAACTATTCAACCAGTGTTCCTGGCAGGCTGACACTTGTCTAGGATATCCAAAAGTTCACCAAGGATTCGACTCACTTCACTAAAAGTCCAGTTTTGAACCAAAACAGGGCTTCAGCTTTCAAATACAGCTCTACTAAACTGGGTATTAATATTGAACCAATTGCCTCAGCACAGAACCACTCCCCTTCTGGACCTGCTATGTGGTTGTACCATGACCCAAATATTGACAGTCCACAGCCTTGACTACCCTCTGATTGTGACACACACAGGTAGTGAGTTTAAGATTAAGGAAGCAGAAAGCCTTCTCACGTGCCTGAGAAAGAGTTTTTTAAAAAACACCTTACCTCATAAATGTTGGGGTGCCACATTTTGGTCAGGAATCTGAAGGTAGGTGGTGAATATGGATAGTCTATAGGGAATTTAATGTGAGCCTGAAAAACGAGAAAAATATTTTAGTTATGAAACAGAACAAAAAAGAGCAACAAGCAACCATTACAGTGAAAAAGATTGGAAAAAAACCCCCACATCATTAGGGCTACTAAACTGCTCATTTTAGGGGGAGGGGGGGCACGTGGACACTGGTTTATAACCCTACATAGGTTCTTATGAGCAAAATGCTAATTGAAAAAGAAAAATCTAAACACCTGGGCTGGTAATGCTCAGAAAACAAGCCAAAAAAAAGGCATTTACCACGTCCTAATTCAAGAAACACTATTCAACAAGTGTTGTTAAACAGGACAAAATATACTGGAAAAGTTATAACTCAAGATACTACTGGGTTTAAAAGCAGGCTAAAAAAAATGTTTGCTGAGTTGAATAGGCCTGTTTTACATTTGGTTGTGCAAATATTTAAAATTATTCTTTCCATGAGGAAAAAAATTTGTTACGTAACCAAAGTTTTTTTGCCTTTCTTGTGCCAAAGTTAAGCTGGTCCGTCTACCTGTGTTCCTAATATTATGTTTTGTCACCACAGGCATTTTTAAGTCTCAATACTATCTGTATCTGTTTAACAAATTAGTGCAACTTGATGAACTGAATATTGATGGGCAATGACAGCAAAGATTTCCTTCCAGAGGTCAGCAACCAGCTGTGGGGCACAACTCTGAGCTCAGTCAGTTGAGAGAAGGCTGCAGAGATCCCAGCTCTGGATATTAACTTCTCTGTGTTGCCATTCACAGCAGTCTGAATCTGGACTGAACAAGTGCCCAAAATACTCCTCTCTAAAAAGGGGACTTGCTGCACTTTGGAGCACAAACTCTTCCCTGGGAACTATTCAATCTGCCAACAAAGTCCCACCACCAACCCAGTGTGGGATCCCCAGAGAAGCTTCTCCTGGCCCTTGTTCCATGGCCAGGCTCATGTGCAACTGAACACGAGAAGAGATCCCAGAAGCAAGATTGTGAGAGCAGAATTCCAGGCCACCCCCTTCCACTTAAGTGCCTAACCATGCCACTTGGGCACACGGTGCTGGGCTTGTTCAACAAGACAAAGTTTTATTCCCAGAAACGGAAGTAGACAACGGAACAAATGGATTACTGAGCTGTGAAGTACTTGGCTACAGTTTTACTTATCTGCATACACCTTTGCCTTGCGACCCAAATTTTATATGGGGTCAGAGTGCCAGGCAGCCAAGAAAAGAAGGCTTTCTGTTCACCTTTATGTAAGAAACTCATCAGCTCACGTGGCTGTACGGTCTGTACATGCCTGCCCATGATAGTGACTGTAAGTGGGTATGTTGCAGCAGCACTGAGTCCTCACCCCGCAGTCATTTGCCACAGCACACTCACAACCTAGAGGTTTAAGATCTGCTTAAATCCCAGCCCACGGTTTAAGGTCAGTTGCAGGAATGGCATCGCTCCAAGAGCAGTGAGCAAATGCCTCTTGTCACCACACCACTGCAGAACAGAGCGACTGCTGCAGCAAGGACATGCCTACAACAAGCCACCCTGCACTGGGAGCAGAGCAGAGATTTACCCAGGGCAGAGCACATCCACTCCAGCTCAGGTTATTGCATCATGTAGCTGCAGACTCATCGGGACTACTGGGGTTTTCCCAAGAAAGCCCATTCCTGTGCCTACATGCAGTTTCGTGAGATCTAAGACATAAAACAGCCCATGGACTGAGATTAAAAATGCAAGAGACAACAAAACTCAGAATTGAGCTACCTACAAGATTTCTTGGCAGAATCTGTCTTCTACGCAGGTGTAGTTTCCAGGAGACCGAAACAAAGAGCACTGTGACAGCAGAGTACCAGAATTGACATGCTTATATCCCACATGGATGGTCAAGGAGTGCAGGTCTCATTTCTCTCAGTAAAAACCCTCTGCTCTCAAACTGTCTAACCCTGAGGGTTTTCTCTCAAGAAAGCCTCTCTCAAAGCTGAGCCTGGAGCACCAGTTATGGTCCCTGTATGTGATGCAGACTCATGCAGAAGCTGTGGAGCCTGGAAGACTGTTCCAAACTTCTAAATCCTGTTGCACAGACACAAGTCTTTAGTAGAAGAGACTACCTGCCTACAATAATTATCATGTGGTGTTGTGTCACATGAAGGATGCTCTTGAGCTCTAGGGCTAGAAAATGCAATTGGAGAAATTAGAGAAATCTTCCCACACGGATGCAGCTAAGGCACTGTAATCCATCACATATTTAGGGAAAGCAGTCATATTATGTGTTGATAAGCTATTTCTAACTAGCCTGTAATTGTTTAGCACATTGAGATGCTGTACTGGAGCATAAAGCCAAGTGAAGCTTCTCTACAAACCTGATTTCAGAGCCAAAAGACACCAAAACATGAAACCTCACATTACAGGCTGGGATTTTTTCCAAACAAAAAGAGCACCACTTTCAGTCCCTGTGGTGAGATCATCCAGAATTTGAAAGTGAAACCAGATGCTTTTCCAGGCCATTACAAACAGGTCTGAGAGAATTACTCCACATCTCTTCTGCCAGAGGAAGCATGGGAAGTTATGTAAGCCCACTCTGCTCTCACTGAATGCTATTTGAGTTTCTGTGTGGGTTAAGCAAGCCAAGAAGTTCCAAGACAAGCTGCAAGACTGCTTGCAAAGATGCAGCAACAGCCACGATCACAGGTCATTCTTTTTCCCCATTGAAAACCTGATTCTAAACATGTTAAAAAACAAGAAGACCAAATTCAACAATAAACTTATTTTCTAAATAGAGCTCCCAGAATGGTTTCCTCCCTACAACTTCACTGATGTAAGGCAAATCAGCTCATTTCTGTTAAATTCAGCCAGGCTGCTACGTACTAGAGAGTGGCAGAGTTTTCAGGCAGCTCTGTTACAGCCAGACAAATTTAGAAGGACTAAATGTGCAGCTCAGGTCCCCCCCCCTGCAAGTACCCAATCGTTACTGCATTCACCATAGGCTTGACTCTTCTAGCTGAGCTTAAATTGGAGAGAAATAACTCTGTTTTGGTGTTCTGATTTTAGCCAACTCCTTGTCATGGCTCTTTGACATCACTGAACATAGTCAATAGCCAGAAAGGTGGAGACCAGCCACCAGCTGTCCCCTCCTTCTCCAGTTTATAATTAGTCACACTTATAGTCCCTAGAAAAATAATAAACTCCTCTCAATAGTCCAGCCTGGCAGAAGATCCAACCCTTTACAGGCATTTACAGCTACTGCACAAGAACTTCAATGTCCAACTTACACCATGGCATGTATTTTAAGATTTCTACCAGCACGGTCACTTTGTTTCCTGTTTTACTGCCTTGCTCCCATGGATCCTCAAAAACGACTGCACTTCAGGTTTGTAACCTTTCTTTTATTTCAATAAGGTGAACCCACAGATTTTGCTATGCATGCCAGAAAAATAAGAGCCTCACTAGGTCCTGTGTTATCTGACTGAAAACACAAACCTAGTATTTCTACCGAATTATTCACTGATTGAGTCAACCCCCTGTGGCCAAGAGCATCCTGGCCTGGATCAGCAAAGGGTGGCCAGTAGGACTAACATAGGCAGGACTCCCTCCTAGCTTCAGCTGTCTAGAAATTCAGTACTTGTAGCTGTAAATGACACTTGAGTAGTCTGACATGGATTTCCTACACTCCTCTCAAGCTGACAAAACCTAGAACCCTGGTTTTCAGGCAGCAAGGGTAGGAATGGTGAATCCATCCTAACTGCCCACTATAGAAAACTTCCTGGGGAAGTGCACACAATTCCTGGAAAGCCACCAGCATCACAACTCATCTGATTTGAGGGTAATGGGGAGCATGAGCAGCTTCAACAGTGGCCAACACAGACTGCAGCTGCTCAGTGTTTCTGGAAGTGCCACTTACAGATAATTTTTATTTCCAAACATCACAAGCTTAACACCAGCCCTATGAAAATACAGCATCAGTGAAGCCAAGCATCTTTTGAAAACTGTATTTAAGATCAGTTACAGAGGAAGTGCTTTGAGTTTCTAAGTTATTTTGCAATTATTTGTAATTATCTGCTACAGCCAGCCCACGGACAAGCTCCTACTGGCTCTGTGTGCAGGTACCATCATGGTCTCTTACAGATCACCCACCCTGCCCTGGTACTTGCAGGCAGCACAAGGCATCCCCGTTTTCCTTTGTATCAGGATGGCTAAGTTCCTTGCTGTGCACATTGTCCCTTTTGGTAGCAATTCCCACCTGATGATGGCTCCTGCTCCACACACTAAACATGCAGGAAAGGCAAGAATAGGAACCACAGGCCACTACTGGGTTAAGATATAATCACACAAAATGCTTTACTGCTTCTTGTGCATCAAGCATTGGCACGATTCATCTAATGGACTCTTCCACATTAAGCCTGGATTAGCGCATGCAGTGTTAAATACTGTGTGCCAGAAAACACGTTCAGTACAGGTCAGCAGGCAGTACCAGCAGCCTTTTTCTCACATCCATGAGGTTTAAAGCACATCAGTATTGTCCAGCTCAGAACCTGTAAAGCAGCACTATAGCTAGACATCGTCAACTATTTGATGGGGTAAAAATGAATATATGACCAACATTGCTATTTCAGCTCCAGTTATTATGACTTGGACATAAGTAACTTCTTCTGGCAGGGCTGGGCACTAGACTGGTATTTTAAGCCCAGTTTTTGCTTCACTTCCCACCAGCACTGTATCAATGTTTATTAACATCTGTTGTGCTATGAGAGAAATAGGAGCACATCCCTTATCTAAGATGAGTGACCAGGTCAACTAAGTCTTGTGAGTCCTGAAAACTCTCTTAGTGCTGCAGTAGCCATACGAACAGTAAGAGCAGCAAATCTCTTATATCCTACATTACACCTGCACCTCTTCATAAGGAATTTGAATCACAAAGATCTGAATGTGAAAAATGATCTCACGAATAGGATGTGAGGCTTCTAAACCAGAAAGAAAATCGAGCCATAAGACAGCAGGGTAAAGATGAGTCAGGAAGGGGGGTGAGCATACAC